GTGGATCTTTAATGCAAAATGTTGAATGTGAAGTTATTTAGTTTACAAGCAGGCTTTGGAAATAATGGACCAATGAGATGGCATCACTGTGAAATTTTAAATAAATAAATAAAAATTGCTGATTTAAAAAAAAAAAAATGTATACATTTTTCTTTCTTAAAGCTTCTCTTTTAGTCCATAAATAATCTTGTCCCAGGAATACTTTGCCAGTTGGTCACTCTGTTTAAGACTAACATTAGCTAACGCTTTATTAACACTATCTGTGATTGTTATAGCTGGTGTTAATAACTGAAATGAAAGTAGTTTTAAATCCAGCTGAACTGACTGTCTGTAATATAATGTTCCTCAGTTATTCTGAGCAATCAGAAGAGGCAAAAGGTTTGTTTTGAGAGAACAGCCCAAGTTACCTAACATTATTATCTTAGCTTTACTAAAACCTAAATAAAGCACAATTGTGGATGTTTAATGTAAAATGTTGTTGATAATCCAAAAAAGGGTGGAGGAGCTCAGTTGTGCTCTTTACCCTGGATTTACTTCTATAACACAGTGTTGATAGTTCCATCATTTGTATTAAATGTGATATTTATATTATGTTGTATATATTAAACATATTTAAAAACGAGACATTTTTAGTAATCTATATATAAAAGCTTTAATATCTACAACTTGTAGATATTAGAGAAAAAAACGGACCACAGCTGGACTTCTGACTGATGTTAGTATATCCTCCTATATTACTTGAAAAGGGTTTTTCCTCTAACCATGTTGTAATAATTATTAAATCTGTTGCCTTTTCAGGTCAGAATTCTTGTGGTGAGACTTGAACACTAAATACGTCCAAACGCTGTGTCCATTAATAGATGCTGTTTGCATCTACGGCAAATGAAAGAAGGTCATGTTAGACCTGTCTGAGGGCTCCAGGACCAGCACTGGGAACCACAGTTTAGGGCACAGCATGATGGAAACTGGTCTCCTTCTGTATCAGCAGTGATCTCTCTCCTCAGTCAGTACTGAGTACTGAGTACTGTAATTGATACTTATTGTTGTAAATCAGCCACACAATAAGACAGATGGTTTCCTATGATGAGGCTAGTGACTGTGATATGATCTGCTGAGTACAGGATGGTTCACTCCTAATGATTTAACGCTTTCACTTTTAGGGTTCTGATCAGGTTTTTCCCTTTTAGTTTGAATCTTTATATATTCAACATTTTTCAAGATTCTGATTCAATATTTGTATTTTATATGACACTTTCTGAACTGAAATCATTTTTGACTGCTTATGTAAAGTGATCACTACTAATAACTGTGCAATAGCTTTGCTTTTACATTTTCTTGTGGGTTCATTTAGTATTTTTTGCTAAAAGGCAGCTTAATAGCATTTGAAACACTTCAGTGCTGCAGGCTGTGCAGAGGGTCTGTTTACAGCTCCTCTATGACAGTGGAGTAAACAGAGCACAGTGGAGTCCAGGACAGATAACAGATGATCTGAATTCAACACCTCTGATAAAAATGGATGAAAACAGGGACTTTTTGGTTTAAAGACATGATGAGGAATTTTAAAGCTTTAAACACAGTGCTGCATTGGGATGATGGTTTAGAGTGTATAAAGTCCAGTTTCACCCCTGAGCTAAAGCTCTATCGATCAGGAGGTAATGCTGATATTAATAAATGCAGTTCACAGATCAAGAGTGTTTATTTTAATATCTTAATATTTCTGCTCATATTTGACAATGAAAGTGGTTCTTTTGAACAAGTTTTTTATAATGAATCAGTCAAACTGATTCATAAGTCCAGTTGAATCTGAAGGTTTGAGGCGTCTATGCAGTCTGTAGTCCACGTTGTAGGTTGAAGAATTCTGTTCAAATGCTTTCTGATCCAGAGCCTCAAAGTACAGCACATTTCTAACAACCTTAGAAAACATTTCTGAATTTGTACACATTTAGTGTCTACATGAACAGCGAGACAGACCAGCACAGCTAATAGATTATTACATATTAGATTAGAGTAAACAGTGCAATGAGCTCTGTATTATTTCAACTTTTATACCACTGTAAGCTGATTTACTATTTAAAGCTGTGAAGAGCTTCACTGTTTTATTATTAGAATCACTGTCTATTTCTCTTTTTTTCAGCAGACGCTTTTGTAAAACTTTTATATAGTTGAAAAACGATACATGATGAAAAGAGGGATGATGTTCTGCTCTGTTTCAGTCTTGTCAGTTGCCAGAGCATCGTTTAATATATTTGTAACTTCTCAAACCATGAGACCAACAGTGAAACAAAAATGAGAAAGTGTGTAATTTCAGTTCTGATTTATTTACTGTCTGATTTTACGACATCTTTGTTGATGTAATACAGTGAGTAGTCTGCTACTCTGCTAGTAGTCTGAGTGTGAAGACAAGAAAATCTCAGTGAAAGAAGTGTTGATCATCTAAAAGTGATCAGCTCTTCAAAGAGGCACGTTGACAACACCTGATTGTATTTTGGTTATTTCTGATAGGGACAGATATTTATTTTATTTCTGAGTTTGTGGTGTTTCTAATGAGTGTACAGTGTGTTTGAGTCTGTGAAAACAATGTAGAAATGAAATGAGGGAACAACAATATTATAGACTGTTCTGACTGTATGATGTATTTAGTCCAGCAAGTGGCGCTGTTTTATAAACTACAGTATCACCTGGAGACTTTATGGCAAATGTGTGTCTGTATTTATAATGAATGTGCTGCGTTAGTTATGTAGCACCCCCTCAGACCCATTACCTTGCTTTAGGAGTGAGGTGAGTTCTTCGCGTTGACTACTAATTGTAATTTTGAGCAGTTAGTAAGCTACTGATTTACACCTTTAAGTAAATACCACTGAAATTAAATTATGAACTCTACCTGTGGTATCACGCCTCAGCTATGACACCCCTTACAAATTTAGTATTATATGAATGTACAAGAACCCACTCAATAGTGTGTATACAGAAATAAGTGACTGGACAAACAAATCACTTAGTTATGCTGTATGAATGATGTATTTTTCTGTTTCTTTTCAAGATTCACATAACTACCTGAATATGACTGAGATTGCAGAATATTATAATGAGCAGTTAACCCAATGGGTAGTGAATCACCAAATTACATTACTGTTGTGGGCCCTCAACAGACCGCTGGGCATTCCCGGGCTGGGAATGTGAACGGGAACGGTTACCGAGTCCTGCTTGTTTACGTTCGCTGGGAGAGCAAACTCCGGGTGACTACGTTGCTAGGCAGTAGGCGCCGATGCTTATGCTAACGCTATGCTAACCAGCTGAGCCTCGAGACCAAACTGTTTACTTCGAAGGGAAGTTTCTCGTGGCTCGTTGCCTTCCGTCGTGTCAGTAGCTAGTGAAAGATCTCAGTTCGACAACCCAACACTTCTGGCTTGACAAAGATATATAAATATAACGTGCTTTACGTTACATCCCAGCACGGAGCATCTCGGTTGCACTTTCTCCCCTTCTCTCTCTTCTCCTCTTCCCCCCCCCCCACGCACTTCCCGCCCCCCTCAGACACAGAGCCAATGAACAGGTGAGTACAAAACCTAACAATGATTGACAACTATATTTAGCAAATCAACTACGTTTTAAAATATATTTATAATCTCTTAACACTTTTATGCAACTATTTTAACCTTTTAATTTTTTAACACAAACACCTTTACCATACAAAAAAACAAAACAAACAAACAAAAAACAACAATATATATTCAAGTATAGCCCACAAAAATGTCCCTAGGACTACAGTTATAAAACTGGAGATTATCGTAACTGTGATTGTATTGTGCGTCTCTACATATAGAGTCCTCCATCCAAACAGTGCGGCTCTCCCGAGTTTGAGTTTGGCTCCTCCCTCCAAACAGTGCGTCACTCCCGAGTTTGAACCCTCCCTCTAAATAGTGCGGCTTTCCCGAGTTTGACTCCTCCCTCCAAACAGTGCGGCTTCCCTGAGTTTGGCTCCTCCCTCCAAAGAGTGCGTCACTCCCGAGTTTGAGTTTGGCTCCTCCCTCCAAACAGTGCGGCTTTCCCGAGTTTGAGATTGGCTCCTCCCTCCAAAGAGTGCGTCACTCCCGAGTTTGAGTAGGCTCCTCCCTCCAAACAGTGCGGCTTTCCCGAGTTTGAGATTGGCTCCTCCCTCCAAACAGTGCGTCACTCCCGAGTTTGAGCCCTTCCTCCAAACAGCGCGGCTTTCCCGAGTTTGGCTCCTCCCTCCGAATTGTGCGGCTTTCCCGAGTTTGAGCAGTATAAAGGCTCCTCCCCCCAGCAGTGCAGACACTTCTCATGTGGATCAGCTGCGGTTTGTCTTCACTGTCTGCAGAACAGGATCTCCGTCTGACAACGTTCGTTTCTGGAATAAAACGAAAGAAAAAGCATCAGAACCTGCCGGAGCCGAACTCTAGAACCCCCTACAGCCTCCACCATCTGACTGCTACAGAACAAACTGTAAGTACACGATGAATATTAATGCTGAAAAAATGTAAAGCACGAGACTGAACAGACCCTCTTTACTCACCACTGTAGTTCACTGACAGATCATGTAGAAACACAAAGACAGGTGAAGTCCATGTAGGAACAGAGAGCTGAGAGATCTGAAGAGCTGAAAACACCAGTTAGAGTATAGAAATGTATCTTATATGCTCTGTAATGTTTTCAGATGGTGAGTTTTGTGTCATTAACAGTGTTTGTTGCTGTGTTTCCACCTGCAGGCTGTGTTGAGTCTCCACCGTCTGCTCAGCCATGCAGCTCTTCAGCTTCTGTGTCCTAACAGTCCTGACTGCAGTCCTATCAGGTGAGAGTCCTCACTGCTCACACTGCACACTTTCATTAAACAGCCTCACTGACTTACTGAGACTGGACTCAGCTTCACTGGAGCTGCTTCCACATCTTCATCTTTAGAGAGTAAATATATGGAACATAGACTGAGATTAAAGGCTATTAAGCTAGAAACACTTCCACTGTATCTACACTCACTGACCGTGATGCACAGTTTGTCTATAACTGTAAACACTTGTTCTTCTTCAGCAGGTCAGCAGACACTGGCTAACTTCATCGAAACCACATGGAAGGATCTGAATGACCCGGCCACTCTGTACTGTTCAGAGCCCTGTTCAGGGGTGGAAACCTGGGAGAAGAATGGAGTGAAAGTGGCCGAATGTGGAGTTAAAGAAGAGTCAGAGTTCAGCTGTGAGAGACACCTGGACAATAGTAGCCTCACCGTTCCTCAGGTTAATTACACCACCAGAGGATTTTATCACACCAAATGTAGCGGAGAAGTGATCTGCTTCCAGAACCTCCAGCCCAAGCGTGAGTGTTTCAGAGCATTAAACTCTTGTATGACAGTGTATGATACAGTAGTGTTATGGTAGTTTGGTGCTGGTACGACTGGAATTACAAAGATCTCTTCTTGTCTCTCCTGCAGCTCACAGCTCTTCTGTTGAAGTACCAGCTGGAGATCCCCTCATCTTGGACCTGTTCACGTTCCATCCAGTGACTCTAATGTTCTCCCGGACTGATGGAGGATCTGTAACCCCTGTCCAGATGTGCACTGTGAATGGACGCTCCGTGCGCTGTAACGCGGGGTATGAAGACAGAGTGTCAGTGTGTGGTAACTCCATGGTGCTGAGAGACGTGGTGTCTGCTGACTCTGGAGTCTACACAGTGCGAGAGGTCAACGATGGAGCGGCTCTCATACGGACAGTGTCGGTCACTGTTAAACGTAAGTGCTTTTCTGGTGTTCTTGCTGTTTGGGGACTTTGTGCTGAGGTGACTCTCTGATTAGCCTCTTTACATATACAGCAATCAGAGATATTCTTGTTGTTGTTGTTGTTTTGCACATTTAAATAGAAAAGAAAAGAAGTGGTGTTCAGTATTTTGGCCATAATTTGGCCAGAACTATAAATGGTCTAATGTGCCTTAAAGATAAACCTAAACTGTAAAATATTTACATATACACTTATACAATTACATATACTACATAAGCCTTTAAATAGCTCTTCTTCAGTGATCTTCATCAAATCCAAAACTCTGTCCACTTCAGATTCATCAAAATGAAATGTAAACAGTTAGAACAGGTCCTGGTCCTGTAGATCCACCACCCTGGATCTGGACATCCAGATGGCCTTGAAAGCCTTTATTACCTGGATCAGGTGTGTTAGTTTAGGGGTAGAGTTGAACATCTGAGTGCAGTTTCCACTGGAATTTCCTAGTTAGCATTATGAAACATTTAGCTGTTGTGTTTTGGCCAAAACTTGTTTTGTGGAAAGAACTGATCTGGATACATTAGTAGTTTTTTTGTTGAGGAGAAACAACTCTAATCTGGAATTATCTTCTCTAGGGTGAACACGTCCTCCAGTCTAACTGAAAACCTTCTTTATACTGAATGTTTTTCCAAATTTGTTATGTTAAAACAGTGATCCACAGGAAATGAAACTCAGGACAATAATCATGTCGTCATGAACAGAGTAAACATTAAACCGTACCACAGCTTTCACTGATCACACCCATCATTGCTCTGATTAGCTTATCATACAGTTATGCTGAGTGGACAGATGGTCTTCATCTCTCATCACTCTGACCTTTCATGACCTGAAGACTTTCCTAAAGAGCACTAATCACATTCACCTCCTCTGTTTTGTCTGTTGTCTTCAGATGCTGAGCAGAGCTGGATGTGGAAGGATGAATACCAGCAGGGATTGAAAATTGGAGCACTGGGATTTGGGATTGGAGCGCTGGTTCTTGGTGTGATTCTGGGGTTCTATGCTGTGCCGAGGGGTCTTTATCTGATGGACAGATGTGTCCAGAGGCTCAGAAGACGAGACTCCTCACGCGTGACTCAAACTGAGGATGTGGAAAAGAGTGTTCCCCTGACATGAGGGAATACCAGCCAATGGAATGACTGGGATTTATTGGATCTCGGTACAAACAACATGAATGACCCTCATCATAGGGAAATGACTTTAAATCAATTAAAATGACACTGAAATTTACTTGTTTACTTATTTTTATGTCCCAAATGAGCTGATGCTCTCAAGGCCACTCCACCCATCTGAAGCTGGTTTCTTATTCCCCGACTTCATGGTAAAATTTTCCTGTTCCACCTTAAATGGTGATCAGTAGTGAAAGTAGAAACACGGCTCAGGTCCTAATTTGCTGGTCCAGCCAGTGTCTTTACCATCCAGCATTACAGCTCTTTAACTGGACCCCAGTTTCCAGAATGCACTGGTGCTGCTGCTCCTGCAGGGTTTTATTCTTTCTTTGTGAAAGTGCTGAGTGTGAAGTGTTTTTAAAGGTATGAGAGCTTTTTATGGCTTTTATTTATCTGCTATTTATTACTGTTATACTCCTCTGTATGAAATAAAGTGTGTATTATCCCATGATTCCCTGGTGTTTCTTCAGTGAACAGCTTTAGCTGAAATGATCAGGACAGTGAAGTGTGACTGATAACTCACAGTGCCGCTTCCTGACGTTTGTCCTGGTTCTAAAGTGTTCTATTATGATGATGGACCACCAGAGAAGAACAGAGTGTCACCCCCAATAAGAACCAGGAACCAGCCTGAGAGATCATTTACAGTCTCTCTCTCTCTCTCTCTCTCTCTCTCTCTCTCTCTCTCTCTCTCTACCAGTCCTGTGACCTCTGTGTGTACTTGAGAGTGACTGGTTATATTTGGACAAGTTTTTGAATATCAGCTGACATTAAGATTCATGATGATTTCCTGTTTTACTGTGCAGTTGGTAATTTGACATGTTACACTAATGATCTGTAATCTCACTGCTCATCACCTCATAGATAAACAGATACACTGGATTTAAATGTCACTCTCCTGTCAGATTTGGAGATGGAGCAATGGCTCACACATAGCGTCCACTTTATTAGAAACATCCTTCTAATAGTGGGCAGGACCCCCAGAACAATTCTTCAATTCTTTCAAGTGCTGGAAACACTGTTAGAGATCCATGTTGACACGATTACATCACAGTAAAACCTGCAGATTGGTCAGTGACACAGTCATGCTGAGAATCTGCCTTTTACCATGTCCTTCCAAGGTGGACGTTCACTGAACTCACTGTAATGTCCATGGAAGCAGTGTGAGATGACTTGTGCTCTGTGATGAGCCACATAATCATGCTGGAAGAAACTATTAGAAGACAGTAAACTGTGTCTATGAAGGGATGCACATGGTCAGCATCAACACTCAGACAGACAGAGGAATTCTAACGCTCTTTGACTTGGGGGGCTGTGAAAACATCCCCCCACACCATTACACCACCACCAGCCTGGACTGTTCACACAAGGCAGGTTGGGTCCATGGAGTCATGCTGTTTACTCATCAATAAACAGCATATTTTTTAAATGACTCGCTTAAAAATCAGGCCTAAAATTAAATAAATATTATTTAAAATTGTGCACTTTATTCAGTGGATTATACTGATTATAGTAATAACTGACCCCTATAATATTGAGTGAAGCTACTCAGAGTCTGAGTGCTGTACTGTAACACTGTGTACCTGGTGTGATGAGTATTAATGACATCTGGAGCTTCAGTTCTGTAAATTCACATAACCAGACTGTTTATTATTTACGTTATTTACATCCTGAAATCACAGTACTGTTATTATTGTTGCGTCTTGAAGTGCTCAGCAGATATAAATGGATATTTAGCGCTTAAAGTTGATGTGTGTTACTGGGACACGAAATGCAGGCAGTGGAACTGAGTATTTGAAACCTGAACAGTTATATAACTTATATAGACAGAGCTCTACAGTTTACACAGCACAGGTGTTTTTAAAAAGCTCAGACCTGGCCCAGCTATAAAAACCAGCACAGCCAGCGTGCGTTCCCTTTCTGGTGCTGGTCATCCAGTATGGTCATGCTGATTGACGAGCATATTGCTGTTGTCGGAAGAAAACCTTGTATCTCCATTTTTGACATTTTTCAGTTTTTGACATCATTTGAAAATACCTGCTGGTCTTTACATTGTGTGTAAATTTCATGATGAATGGACTGAAAGAAACGGCCCAGAATTCCTTGGTAAAAAAACTCTGGTCCCATTGACTTCCATTAAAAGTAAAGCATGTTTTTTCCTTCTCCTGTAAAGTTACCATTTTGGAGATACGAGGTTTTCGTCCGACAGCAGCGATGTGCTGGTTGAGCTGGTGACCAGCTATGCTGGTTTATACTGTTTTTTCTAGCTGGGATAATCTTTAGTCGTATCAGCTCTGCAGCACCAGACAGCACTGACCTCACATACGATCTTTAACAGCACATTTCACTTTCAACTCTTCCATTTTTCAGGATCCAGACAGCTTTTCCAGCTTGATGATTGATTGATGTCCATTACTGTCCATAATGGAGGATGTTCATCATGATCCTGTATCTCTCTGTGCCCTCATTAATTATAGCTGCTGGTAATGAACGTCTGCAAATAATCTAAGGTAAATAAATACACAGTTCATGTAGTGACATTATTGGAAGGAATCACATGTTCAAACAGTTTTCCACCAAAATGTCCATCTATAGGGCTGCATGCTGACAGGTGGTGGCAGTTCCCCAAAGAATAATGTGTTTCTATCACATTTTCTTAGTCTCAGAAGAGTAAAGAGTCTTTGATGGCCGATTTCTGAATTATTTGTGAACTAAACTCTCATCAGGAGAAAAGAGAAGCTTAACATAAACATTGCAAGACGTTCTGTAGTTAACTGTATTTTTACCTGACTGAAGTGTAATAATAAACTTTGGAGTTTATTTCAAAATCTACTGTCCTGTATATCAAACCTTTCTACACAAACATGGAGTCAGCTTTCTTATTCCAAATTCACATTCCGCCTTAAATGGTGCCGTTCAGTGATTACATTCTGGGATGTTGGGGTTCAGCATGTAACTGGTGCAGCATTTAAAGTGGAACAGAAAAATAGACGACAGTGAATAGGATTTTTGACTTGTCTATGGAAAAACTAGGCCTCAGATATGAGGCAGCATTCATAACCATTTCAGAAAGTTTCTCTAGAACAGAGCATTTCACACCAAACCGCTCTGAATAAACACTTAATGAATTTAATGTAGATTAACAGAAAGTAAGTAATAAAAAGGATAACAAGTCATTATTTTGAGAAGTCATAATTAAAAAGGTCAAAGCCAAACATCAGAAATTCTCAGTCAAAATTTTGAAGAAGAAAAAACATTTTATTCTACCTGGTGGGAACAAGAAATATAAATATATCACAAATAAATTAAGAGAATGCCTTGAAGATTGTTTTTGTTCTATATGTGTGCGCTTGAAGCACTGGGGTGTGAATATTTGTATTTAATTTATTATTGTATATTTATTAGACAATAACTAGTGTCCAGGATTAGTTAGGGCTACTAAAGTCTGCCCTGTACATAGAAAGGAAGTCTTTGGGATCTTTGTACAGTGGAAACTTGAACCAGGAGAACCTTATATAAAATATAACAGACCCACTTTGAGACTGACTGTGTTCATGAGGAGTGGAAGGAAAACTAGTTCCTGTACAATCACAGCAGTTATTTAAGCATTTTTCACTTTTTAGTGCGTACATTCATTTTCTGAGCACACGTTAAAGTAACTGTTTAAATAAAGCACTTGGTGTTGATATAGTTATTAAATATGGGGGTTTATGTGTCGTGAAGGATCCTCCAAGCTGTCCTTCTCTCTGTACTTCACACTTCCTGAACTGAAATTGAAAGTGACGCACTTACAGAGAAAGACACAAGATAAAATAACAGAAAAACCAGACTTCAGACTGTTACAGGGTGAGTAATCTGCAGATAGTATTCGTATTAGTATTCGAAACAGTATTCAACACAATTTCTGTTTAAATAAATAAACAAACACACATAACCAATTCCAACTGCAGACTGAGTGTAAAATATAGAAATGTGTTAGTTCTTCAGATTTCACTGGAGTTTATTAAACCACTGAAGGTCTATTTCTTCTACAAGTATTAGGAACAATGAGCCAATATTCTAACTTAACTAACCACTTTTTACTCGGTTATTACACCAATTTTTAACTCTCCTTTTCTGATTCCCTATTTCAGTGTCTGTGTCAGCTGTTACTGTGGTGAAGGTGAATCTTCATGACTCTGCTACTCTGTGCTGCTCTGAGAGATGCTCTGGTTTGGTCAGATGGACTGTGTTCCATAAACCCACTGATGCTCTGGCTGAGTGTGATCAGACTTCATGCAGATCAAAGGAGGGATATCAGATGATCCATGATCAGTACCTGAAGGGAGATCTCTCTCTCACCATCATCATCAGCACATGGCTGTGAGTGCGAGAGAGGACTGTATCTTCTCCTAGTGCAAATGTAACAGTAACCACACAAAATCCAGTAATCCAGGCTATGATACTGTGCAGTGCTCTAATAACTGACTCCACTGTAATGGTATGCTGTGCTATTCTGTAATAACCATGATTTAAGTGCAGTGATTGGATCAGATTTGGATCAGAGCGTCACTCACATCTGGTTTTGAGCTGAGAGGAATGACTCCAGCTGATAGTGGAGTTTACACCATCTGGGACACCAAGAATAAAGAAATGATTCATGTCTACACAGTGACCGTCCAAGGTACGTCTTCAGTGTTGTTGATACACCTTAATCAGTTAATTATTGCTTTTTATTTTGAGTGTTTGTTAATTTATAATTCGCATCATTCTTGTGTGTTGTAGATAACAGACAAAGCCTGGACAGAGATCTTAGATCTGTTGTGCCGGTGTGGAAGACTTGCAGCTGTGCTTGTGGCAATGACGTTGCTGACTGTGCAGCCGGAACATATTATAAAATATCAGACCCGATACCGATATCATATCAGATCGGATCGTATCGGTCTCATCTCTACTCTAAACCAGAGTATT